TCTAGATGATTGCACAGCGAGGTCAAGGTTATTTCCAAGGCAAATATTGGTCCCACCTGGACCTAGCTGGCATAAACGATGAATGCTGCAAGACATGCTTTGTATGCTGACCGACATGTGTTTGATGACTTAAAATGTTAACATTTTTCGAGCAAGTTCATTCCAGATTAACGATAAGTGTATCCCAGGCTAAACTAGCTTGAGGTAATGTACCTGATGACATTTATTTTCTAGATAAGCAAATATCCAGATCAAACTAGTGTGGAAAATACATCCGAAGATGCAAACTACAAAACATGCTGAGAATGCCGCATATGACTTACAGATTTTAGATGGCCGAACGTTGTTTAAAATATTGAATCATGTTAATTCAATGTCCCTTTCCAAACTTAAACTGTTATGCTGCAGAACCACAACCCTCATAAATTGCACACTTGATAATTCATTACCCGCAAGGATATACTACACAGCAGACTCAACCACCTAACTACAAAAAACCTTACTACAGCCAATATTTGAAATTTAATTTAAACCCTGAAAGACCAAAATTTTCAAAAGTGCGAAGATCAACGATGCAGGACTTGTCAAGTAATACAATTGTAAGCCAATGAAACCAAAATGTTTGCAAAGAGTTTATTAACTGAAAGTTGTGAGTCGTAAAGCTGATCGTACAGTCGTTCTCTCGAAGAGCGCCGTAGATCGTATTTTATAATGTACAATACATAATACGCATTTACGTATGAAATAGACAAATCAGATTCAAGTAAACAAGTTATTCAATAAATTTGTACAAAATCCTGGAATTTTATAAAATAAACTGTAATTGAAACATAAACTTTAATAAGCTTCAGTCCAACGTCCTAGTATTGTGCAAAAGTAAATATAATGTTAAGATAATTTTTAACAATGTTCCATTACTGTTCCTGCATCGTCGTCCCAAGACAGATAAACATCCTGGTAGCTTACATTGTCCTTAATCCGATTACCAGGTTTGTTTATTCTTACGGAAAAGTCTTACACTTTCATATCCCGATTGGATTATAGGTCAATGCACTCTATCTGAAGTACATTGTAAATAGTTTAATATGTTTATTTTCTGATTAAAATAATTGTCTCAAACCCTATAGGTTTACACAATCCGGTCAGTCCATATTTAAAAAAAAACGGAATGAACTTCAATTTGAACTTCATCATGACATATCAATCCAAAAAAATCTCATCTACTGTATGACGTGCCCTACATGTGAGGAAAATTATATTGGACAAACAGCATCCAAACTGGCCGATACGTATGCAAAAACAACAAAGACCCAACCATAAGAAACAAGATAATTAATTGTTTACCAATATCGAACAAATTTTATTGATCTCTAGAATACAAATATAACAATCAAAAAGTCAATGTACTCTATGTATAATATTAGTGAAGTGAATATTTTTAACATATGATAAAATGTAATATATTCATGATTTTGTTCACTTTGCAATACAGATATATCACATACTATATTATTTTCTAGAAAATTCTAAATATTAATAAAAGTTTTATTCTAAATAAAATGAATATCCCACTCATATTCATTGAAATCAACACAATACAAAATACACATCATCTTTAGTCGGCTAAGTGTTAAAAGCACTATTTATGTAGATTGTTTTAAGAATAAATAACACATTTCTTTTAGACACAGCAATAGATCTAAGATTTATTTTTATATACTAGTAGATAACTCGAGTAATATTTGCCGTCGTAAATGTGCAAAGATTTATACGGAAAAAAGCACAGATTTGCATATTTGAACACTTAATAAAAGTACTATTTGTTTATAAATATTTATAAAATACATTACCCTATCACATATTCAAAAACCTTTTTACAAATTTCTGCTTATTTTCTCTTCTCAACAATCTGGCATCTTAATTTGGAGAAGATATTTTTTGTACTAATCGAGATATATACGATTTCTGCAATGTGTAGTCCCCACCCACTGACGTCAGATAGAAAGAAAGCAGCAGAGATTGACATGCATATTAGGCTTCTGACCTTTCACTTGGTGAAATTTACATTCAGGTGTAATTATCAAGAAATGTGTACATTTCCAATTATATTTCCTTAAGATTGTTTGCAGATTAGAAAAAGTTCATTTTCTCATGACCTAACGTGGGATGAGTAGGAATATTTCCATTGTGATGTGATTGAAGTAAAAAATTAGTGCAAACTTTTTTAAAAAAAAGATCATCGAATGAAAAAAAATATGTGGCAAATCATCAGAAAAATAATGTTATATAAGAATTTAATTCTTGAGAATTCATTAGGTACATGAACCACAACGCTTCAAGCCTGCATATTTATCACGAAGCGCTAACGCGCTTCATGATATATGCAAGTGTGAAGCGTCTTAGTTCATGTCCTCATATCCTCAGGACAGATTGTTGTCGTCGTCGGCGACAAAATGTACCTACCCTCACTGCAAATATCGTCGTCCATCGGTACCTAGATGAGCCTTGTTTTCCTCCTGCACAATGGAGGACAAAATGTACACACATCGGCACATTTTGTCGTCGGCGAAAATATGTACTGTTAACATTTGCACACATTGTCGCTGATATATTGTGTTGAAGAATATTTACTAAGGTCATGAAGAGAGAGAGAGAGAGAGAGAGAGAGAGAGAGAGAGAGAAACAAAATGTATGGCAGATAAATAAGAATAAACAAGTATTTATTTAGGTTTTAGTCAGAAAATGGGGTCCAGGATCGATGTACACCACTACTATATGCCACAAAATCTTGAAATATCTGATAAATCAGCCTATTCTTTCATTCTCGTTATGTATACTAGGAGATTGAATGTTGATTTTTATTGTTCAGTAGTAATGATTATCTGGAAAATATTTTTGCGTTATTTTTATACATGTGCCGATATAATTGGGGTTAGGATCAACATTTTTATCTCACGTACCTGAGCTGAAAGCTCAAAGGAACTTATCTGATAACATTTTGTCTATTGTCCGTCTGTAAACTTTTTACATTTTCAGCTTCTTGAACTAGCGGCCAATTTCAACCCAACTTGCCATGGATAAAGGGGATTCAATTTTGTTCAAATGAAGAGCCATGCCCTCCTTCAAGGGAAGATAATTAAGAATAAGTAATAATTTAGTGGCATCTTTTAAAAATCTTCTCAAGAACCACTTTGTCAGAGAAGTTGAAACTTATGTGAAGCATAATATATAAAGTGTAGGTTGATTTTATTCAGACCATGACCCTCGGGAGAATGATGGGGCTACAATAGATGATCAAAGTTTTACATAGGAATACATACAGAAAATATTTTTAAAAATCTTCTCAGGAACAACAAACCCATGATTTGTGATGATTATATGGAAGCATACTCAGGTAGTGTAGAATTCATGGCCCCCGGGGCTAGGGTGGGGTCACAATGAGCTATCAAATTTTTACATAGGAATGTATAGGAAAATTCTTTAAAATCTTCTGAAGATCAGCAAAGCAATGATTAGTCATATTTATATGGAAGCACTGTTCATGTATTGTCATGTGACATGTATCGATGGACGACAATATGTGCAGTGAGGGTAGGTACACATTGTCGCCGACGAGACGACAACACGACAATATGTACCGTCAAATTGCGCTTCATGAATTAGAATACGAGACACGTCAGTGTGATTTACACATCAATTACATTTTACAAACTACACCCCCCCCAAAAAAAAAATCAAAAAAAAAAATCTTTAACCAACAATATCTGTGGGGCAATAATATGTGTAGTGAGGGTAGGTCAGCGACAATGTGTACATGTGTAACTTTTCAGACGACGACAATATGTTCCGATAGACGACAATATGTGCAGTGAGGGAAGGTACATATTATCGCCGCCGACAATATGCACACGGCGAAAATAAGCAATGTCACAAGGTCAAACATGAAATGAGGAGAGGTTTAAAAATCTCGGATTCCAAACATTTTTTTCTTTAAGACTTTTATTGAGGAATTAAGGCATTCCTTTCGTTTTTTCCTCGTTGTACTTAAAAAAATTGTGTAAAGAATATTTGCTAAACTGGGGAACTTAAACAAAGAAGCGATAAATGAAGCATTTTGAAAACTTAAGTCTACAAAATCAATTAAACGAAGAAATAAGTCCTATTACATGTAGTATTAAAAGATATCTAGTTTCAACTCATACAACACAAGTTGCGAACAGTTTTAAGATTAGATTTCTTCCTTGTTTCTTTTAAGCCTTTACCCGAGAGAAAAGTGACTAAATCAATTTTACTTTCCCGGGCTGCATCATGTAAAGCATTCTCTCCATAATTGTCTTTGACATCTAGTAAATGAGGATAAGTATTGACCAAGTACTTACACATATCTAGTTTTCCGTTCACACAACATTGGTGAAGCACAGTTTTCCCATCACCTCTTTTAGTTTCGATACTTAAGCCTTTTCCCAACAGAAAATTGAAAAGTTCAATGTTACCTCCAAAGGCTGCATCATGTAAGGCAGTCCCTCCATCATTGTCTTTGACATCTAGTAAATGAGGATTAGTATTGGTCAAGTACTTACACATATCTAGTTTTCCCTTCATACAACATAGTTGAAGCACAGTTTTCCCATCACTTCTTTTGGTTTCGATACTAAAGCCTTTTCCCAACAGAAAATTGAATAATTCAATGTTACCTCTAAGGGCTGCATCATGTAAGGCAGTCCCTCCAACACTGTCTTTGACATTTAGTAAATGAGGATAAGTGTTGACCAAGTGCTTACACATATCTAGTTTTCCGTTCATACAAGAATGGTGAAGCACAGTTGTCCCATCACTTCTTTTGGTTTCGATACTAAAGCCTTTTCCCAACAGAAAATTGAATAATTCAATGTTACCTGCAAAGGCTGCATTATGTAAGGCAGTCCTTCCAACATTGTCTTTGACATTTAGTAAATGAGGATAAGTGTTGACCAAGTGCTTACACATATCTAGTTTTCCGTTCATACAACATTGGTGAAGCACAGTTTTGCCATCATTTCTTTTGGTTTCGATGTCAAAGCCCTTTTCTATCAGAAATTGAAATAAATCAATGCTACCTTCCCAAGCTGCATCCTGTAGAGCATTCTCTCCATTTTTGTCTTTGATATGTAGTAAATGAGGATAAGTATTGACCAAGAACTTAGACATATCTAGTTTTCCGTTCATACAACATAGGTGAAGCACAGTTTTCCCATCACTTTGTTTGGTTTCTATACTAAAGCCTTTTCCCAACAGAAAATTGAATAATTCAATGTTACCTCCAAAGGCTGCATCATGTAAGGCAGTACCTCCATGATTGTCTTCGACATTTAGTAAATGAGGATAAGTGTTGACCAAGTGCTTACACATATCTAGTTTTCCGTTCATACAACATAGGTGAAGCACAGTTTTCCTATCACTTCTTTTGGTTTCGATACTAAAGCCTTTTCCCAACAGAAAATTGAATAATTCAATGTTACCTCCAAAGGCTGCATCATGTAAGGCAGTCCCTCCATCATTGTCTTTGACATTTAGTAATTGAGGATAAGTGTTGCCCAAGTGCTTACACATATCTAGTTTTCCGTTCATACAACATAGGTGAAGCACAGTTTTCCCATCACTTTGTTTGGTTTCAATACTAAAGCCTTTTCCCAACAGAAAATTGAATAATTCAATGTTACCTCCAAAGGCTGCATCATGTAAGGCAGTTCCTCCAACATTGTCTTTGACATTTAGTAAATGAGGATAAGTGTTGACCAAGTGCTTACACATATCTAGTTTTCCGTTCATACAACATAGGTGAAGCACAGTTGTCCCATCACTTCTTTTGGTTTCGATACTAAAGCCTTTTCCCAACAGAAAATTGAATAATTCAATGTCACCTCCATTGGCTGCATCATGTAAGGCAGTCCCTCCATCATTGTCTTTGACATCTAGTAAATGAGGATAAGTGTTGACCAAGTACTTACACATATCTAGTTTTCCGTTCATACAACATTAGTAAAGGACAGTTTTGCCATCATTTCTTTTGGTTTCGATGTCAAAGCCCTTTGCCAACAGAAAATTGAATTTGCGTCTAGAAGATTTAATACTCTTTGTATTGCGCGTGTGTGAACGAATACTTCCCTGATGTTTTGTTCTTGATCTTCCAAGGCAACTCTTGTTGTATCTAAATATATATCCAGAGGAATGTTTGAATTAAATTGCATAATTTACGTCAAAAAAGCTTGTTTTTGTTATTTTTAATTTTCATTTCTTTAATACTTGTTTCTGTATCTGTATTAAAATAAAAATAATATGACCCAAGGCTTACCAATCTTTGCTCTGACGTTATTCTCTGAAAGAGGAAACATAATATGAATTAGATTGTTTCATTGTTCTTTATAGATGCATCTTTTTAAGTCAGTTCAACTATGACTTTAACTTTTCCATCGTAAGTTTCCCTTACTTATGCAGCATTATACCCTTATCACCTGCATCTGGGGGTATATCTCTCATTGATTCGATACGCAAGAGTATGCTCTACGTATGAACAATTTCTAATACGAGGTAAGTTATTGACAAACAAGGTCATGAAACAAGAATATCAACTGTCTCGTTTAAAATCATAATTTCGTAAGTTCTATGGTCGATACATTGACTTTGTCAGCAAATACAATTTATCGTTGTATGCTGACTGACGTTTTTCATAGTAATTGTTAGGCCATTATTTACACACTGAATCGCCGACGGATTTTTCCGTTATTTACCAATCATGTCAAGGAGCACAAAGCGGGTTTGACCGGTCGGAAGGGGATGCTCACTCCTCCATGACATCTGATCCCACCTATGCTTTTAGAGGTCCGTGTTTGCTCTGCTCCCGATTTGTATTCTTTTGATGGACTTGAATACTGTTCGTTATTTCCATATTTCATCCGTATAATACTTATAATCCAAGAGATATTTCAACTATACTACATAACTTTAAAAAAAGCCTTCTTTCATGCGTTTGTGTTTTCTGTTATGACGTTTCACAGCCTATAAATTATCTTTTATTTTGGGACATATTGCATATGTCTTTTTTTTCGTAGGAAAAAACAGAGAAGTGTACAATTCATCCTCCGATATGAATGAACACTCTTCCAAATTAATTAATCGTATTTAATTGTGTTATGATTCTCAATATACACGATACAGGTACCGATATTAGGTTTACTGAAAATTTACATTCATTTAAAAATATACGGACCAAAAACTTTATAAGGTATAAAAAGAACTCGTGTATCTAAAGTGAGAGCAATGCTAGCTGGTCTGTGAGAGAGATTTGAAATATTTAAGTGCAAACGAAGCAAGAAGCAAAATATACTGAAAGGAAAAAGAAACGCAGGTTAAACTTTTTAGGTGAAATAAGGTTATATATTTCAGACGTATTTTCCAGTTTTCCTATCTAACGTTTAATATCATCTTTGATATTGTAACCAAAATTTCATTCGATTTTTTTTCAATAATTCATAAGTTATTTAAACTCATATGACGGTATCCCCCAAATGTGAAAAATGAAAATTTTCATTATCTCACATGTCTCACTCGCGCATCAGTCAAAGCCTTGATTCTCCTATGCATGGAGTTCATCAGTGTGTTTATCCTTCTAATAGGGATATTATTCAACCCTTCCGAAGATTAGCCCTTAGTTGATTGAGACCAGCTTCAATATTTTAAACCCTATCCTCCACGTAGTCCCACAGATGGTTGATGCGAAAAAGGTGGACTTAAAGAGACCAGTCAAGTGGATAAATGTGATTTTTTGCGAGAAAATCTTGACAAACTCTTGCAGCATTAGGAGGGGGGTTAACATGCCCCCCAAAATAGGCAAACTACGCACGCATGCGAGTGTTAGAGGAACACTAACGTAAAGTTGACGGGCTAACAAACCAAAATCGCGCTATCGATTTCCTTCGGTTTTGGGGTGAATATAACGATTACGATAGCCTGTTGTATTAATAGCAGTTTTAAGGTATTGTGATGGTGGTTATACAGGTGGCAGGGTTAATAGCCCGATCATGACGTGGCGCTGATACGCGTCAATGTCATCGTCACGGTTGGTTAGACACCTTGCTACGCCCTCTCTGAGGACGGGTAACACGTTCTATTGTGGAAAAATTCACAAAAAACTGCACGGAAACCTGTCGTTGACATTGTCCTTACTTAGGCAATGCAATAGCCAGACCCAAATATCACACTGAATATTTTCTTTATTATTTATATAATTTCTAGACCGAAAAATCGGAATCTGTTTAAATACATAAAGAGTAATACAGAAAATTTATACCCCAAAATTTTTCGATCAATTCTTTTTCCCGTTTGGGATCCAATTGTTCTGTTTTGATTAAGTCTACTGATGGTTGATATTTGGAAACGCCAAGGAACGTATCCAGTTCTGTCGCAATTTTGCGGATGTCATCGAACTCGTTTTGAAAATCTGCATCAGACATGTCTATTTCAACAGCGTGTCCGAAATGTTTGTTTCTGATCAGCCTTAGACGTTCGATATTTGCCGATACACTCCTATCTGTTTGGTCTGGATTATTACCCCAACCTTGATTGTGTGCAGGTAGGTTAGTCACATTACGCAAAAGAGTATAAAGCAAAGATATATCAATATCTGAATAATTTCCCAATGGCCTGTAAGTTTTTGTCGGTTGCGGAAATATTATACATGTATCAGTTTGTGATTTACAGAGCGGATTTCTGTTCTGTGTTTTTAACCAACGTTTAACCGCTTTAGAAAGGTTAGTTGCTGGAACCTCTCTGAGAAGTACTTCCCTCATGACGTCAGCACAGGGCCCCAGTATCAGATGGAAGATCCGTGCTCGGTTAGTTGTTTGAGGTGTAGCGGCATACTTCGAATGGGACATGATCTGGTTTGTATTTGTTCTCTAACTACCTTTATTGCTCTGAAAAAAAATAATTTTATCTATCAATGTGTATTTATTTCTTAGTTTGTGATATATATAATTATACATAATTAATTTTCCTAATTTGATATGGAATTTTTACTGACTAGTTGATGCTCAATTGGTTGAAGACGGCATCTTGATTCAGAACTAATTCCAAACCTTTTCTTTCAGAAAAAGACAAATTTGGCCCCATTTAAAATTTTTAAAAATGTATTCCTTACAATTCTTTCAGAGAGTGTATATGGTGCTAAATCTAGACCCTAAAAAGGGCATGGTAATCCGAAAATCAAAAGGGCACTTTATGCCACGACACGTTTTCATGGGGCCACTCTTTAACGTGTTGAAATTATAAACTTTTACTTTATGAACTTTAACATACGTTCACGGTAGCTCAGTCTGTAGAGCGCTCGCTCCGTGATCGGGAGGTCGTGAGTTCGAATCTCGGCCGCAACTGACCTAAGTCGATAAAAAATGGGTAGCAACTGTTCCTTCGCCATGCGGTCGGCACTTTGAAGATAAAGTTGCGGGTCCTTCGGATGAGACCTTAAAACCGAGGCCCCGTGTCACGGCAGGCGTTGGCACGATAAAGATCCCTCACTGCTCAATAGCCCTGAGTGCCGAGTAAAGGTCAAAATTTGAAGCCCTTTACCGGTATATGGTGACGTTTCTATATGAGTGAAAAATTCTCGAATGGGACGTAAAACAACATACAATCATTATGTACTTTAACTATTCTTATACTGAAATTTTTATTTATACAAGTAATTAAAAGGTAATGTAATTCACAAATCTGTTTTCAATTATTTATTTTTAGAAAAGACAAACAACATAACACAATTCACACACTGACATGACAATTACTGAGACAATATATATATATATATATATATATATATATATATATATATATATATATATATATATATATATATATATATATATATATATATATATATATATATATATATATATATATATATATATATATATATATATATATATATATATATATATATATATATATATATATATATATATATAGTACCCGCATCGTTATTCTTCACAATCTATCGTGTCCTATCGTGCGTTTATCCTATCGTATCGTGCGTGTATCCTGTCGTATCGTGCGTGTATCCTATCGTATCGTGTTTTCCGTTTATCAGGTTTTGCGTTTATCGTGAAGATCGTTTATCAGGTTCAATATGTATCGTGTTTTGCGTTTATCGTGTGCATTCGGAAACCATCGCTTTTTATCCTTACCTTGAAAAGAAACACCCGAGATATCTCGAGTTCATCTTTCGTTTTGTTAATTTAGGATTAATCTAACTGTTGAACAAAAAGAGAAATTAATACTCTAACTCTAGTATATTTTTTAAAGAAAGAAAATAAATAAATAAATAAATAAATAAATAAATAAATAAATGAACGTCAAGTACCGTCACCAAGCAGAGAGCATAAATCGAAAGTCAAATTATTTGAGTCATTCGTTATTATTATTTTTTTTAATTTGTCGATATGTAAGAAATATTTTTGTCAAAGATAGAAATATTATAATCCCTTTACACAGTCAGAGTCACAAAAGCGAGACCTTTATTAACTTTGTTTTGATAATTATAGAAACATTAAACATTAAGTATTTGTGCAAACAATAAATTATGAATAAAAAAAAAATATCAGTTTCTTTATTAAGGCTATCCTTTTTATCTATAAAAGAAGCATAAATTTTGTCTATGCGCGCAAGTTTTGTTGTTCCTTTGTATTATTATTTTTTTCTGATAAGTATATATTATAATATAGATGTTTGCCATTCATATTTGACTACTGCATTTAGAAGATGTAAAAAATAAATAAATAAATAAATAAACAAAACCACACAAATTTTTATTATACATCTTACCTACTTCGGCGCGGAGATGAAGTAATATATACCGTAACTTAGTGACAGGTGGAAGCGCTCCCGTGACAAGAGAACTGACACCTACCTGCCTAATCAGTACACTGTCTTCTTGTCAAGTCAAGACCCCCCCCCCCCCACCC